TGTTTTTGGAATGTTGGAGGAAACCGGAGTACCCGGAGAAAACGCACAACACACAACGAGGCATGCCCAAACTCATTACATTCATAAAAAGTGCATTTCCTTCCTCAACTTGTTGAATAATTTTGCTGCTTGTTGGCGAATTAGTAAAAATTAAGATGATGTTCCCTCATCTCTGCAGAATTGTTTCCGCTTATCTAGAAATCCAATTACAGGTACAGTATGCCTCTGAAATGCGGCCACAGTTATCGATTGCCACATTGTGTGTCGCAAAAGATGCTCCCCGGTGAGCATCAAACACAAATAAAGGTCTGCCAGTGGCAGAAACAGTCGGTGGTAGACTGGCCTTATCGGCAGTTGTCAATCGCAGCTCTCATTCTAAAATACAAGCGTCACACTGTCCCAGCGTGAAATCTGTAAAAATAAAAAGATGCTGCTCCGAAGATTCAAATGAACACTTCAATGTCAACTCTTTTTAACCTTTTAACATTGTGCCTTATGCCCTGGAAGTGCAGTTCACTAGATGCATTTTTTTGGGTGCCGCTCCACCTGTTTCTCCTTCCACAAGAAAAAAAGAAAACAGATATTGCTGATCCTGTTCCTACCTCGCTCTCTGCCTCTAACCTGTATCCTGGTATCTCTCCCGCTTACTACTTGAGCAGCCACTTTGAGCAGTGCTCCAGTTCCTCCTTCTAAAAGTAGCAGATAGTGGTTGCTACTCTCTTACATGCATGCTCCCCTGCTACCACTTCTGTGTTCTTGCTCGGCTGTGCTATCCTGGAGGAATAATTTGAGCAATTTTTTTGAGTTAACGGCAGCATGGAACAATGTTGAGTAAACATTTATGCCTGGCAAATATGTTTGAGCACATTTGCAAGTACGTTCGAATGCATTTAAATTGGTTCAGGCATATTTCAAGTACATTCGGATGAATGAATAAATAAATAAATAAATAAATAAAAACTTGTGCATGCAAGTCAACACCTCATGGCATTATGGGAAAAATGCTTCTTTTTTTTTTTTCATTTGCAACTACTAGCGAGAATAAGCATTGAAGAATGAGTGTTGAGGGGCAGCTCACTGGAAAAAAAAATCTCAATTATCATATTTTCATAAGTGTGAACCAGAAAAGCATGAGGACAGTAGAGCACATTTGAAAAAAAAATATTTTATTCATGTACGTGTCTGCCCTACATTCATATTTGTATTCATGTAACAGTAAGTAATTTTGTTCCATCATTTTCAATTAGGAAAGCAAGATGTCGGAGAAGGAAATGCCTTGTGGCACACTGACACATGCTGTTCAAAGAGCTGTTGGGCTGCTATTTACGCTCACAGCGGCGCGCAGCGATAAAATGCTTATCTTCTTTTGTGATTACTCTATCTATTTTGTCCCCACGTATATTTTCTGATAACAACCGCTACAAATGGACTGTGCACACCATTAAATACAAGCGAAATTCACTTTACCGGACCTGATGACATTGTTGAATAAAAATCGCTTCATATTCTCAGCAGCAGTTATGTATCACGGACAATGTTTGTATGTTAGCGATTCACTTGGGAAATTCTACCGAGAAACCTAGAAGGCATGACTCATATGTGATTGTTTTGGTGTATTTTATTGATTGATGGCTGTCCGAAAGGTTGAGGTAACCTCTGATAAGTTACTCCCTGCGTGGTAAAACTTGACGACTCACAAATTATACTTACAGAGGAATTGTTAGAATGTAATCCAAGTATCCTGGGCCGGTATATTGGTTTACAGGTGCCGGAGGTTGGTTGGCTTCAATACGGAGGACGAGCAGTTCTCATCTCATTATACAATTAAATTTTAGTTCACTGATTCAGAAAAGAGCGGCTTGGTGGTCCAGTGGTTAGCGCGTCGACCTCACAGTGCAGAGGTCGTGGGTTCGATCCCGGCTACGGCCTTGCTGTGTGGAGTTTGCATGTTCAGCCCGTGGGTTTTCTCCAGGGGTTCCGGTTCCCTCCCACATTCCAAAAACAGGACAGGCTGATTGAACGCTCAAAATTGTCCCGAGGTGTGAGTGTGAGCGTGCATGGTTGTTGATCTCTGTGTGCCCTGCGATTGGCTGGCAACCGGTTCAGGGTGTCCCCCGCCTACTGACCGAAGACAGATGGGATAGGCTCCAGCACCCCCCGCGACCCTTGTGAGGAGAAAGCGAATCGGAAAATGGATGGATGGATGGATGATTCAGAGAAAAAAAACAATAGTTGTCGCTTTATTCATTTTATACGGCAAATGTTTGAGCTTGTCAAGAAAAAGGAAGAGGCTGCTTTTTTATTCCCATTTGCTTCATGCTACGTCTGCCACATTCCCAATCCCCATTCAGTTTCATATCCAGTGAGATTTATAAATAGCTCTTACTCAAATGTATGGACTGATCCTTTCCTTTCAAATAGAAAAAGTGTCTGTTTGGTTTAAAAAAAAAAAAAAAAATGGATTTGACATTTCTATACGTGCACATCCTTAAACGATTCCATTTTTTTTCTTTGTTTCATTTTAGTTCATGTCCAGCGGTTTGTTGTTTTGCAAATGTCATCTGGGAAATGATTTTATCACTAACAGTGTTGCTCTTTCGCAACACAGAAGAACCTCCGGGTTCCCGACCACAATCCAAATTTTCACTGAAGGCACAAAATATCATAAATGTGAGTGTGAATAGGTGTTTGTCAAATGCGCCCTGCAATTGGCATGATTTAAAAAAAAAAACAGATGAATGGATATCAAGCATGCGATTTAAGAAAGCTAAAAGGCTGTTTTTAAACACTGTCTGTTAGCAAATGGTTCAAACAATTGAATTCACTTGACATTATTTTCAATGGAGACGTTGATACCAGGCCTCATTTTTCACAAAACATAATCTGTTCATAGCTTTTTTTTTTTCCTCAGAAGGTGCAGTGTAAGTGAAAAACTAGGCACAAATGCAGAGACAAAGCTGGAGCAGAAGTGCCACTTGGGAGCGTCTCCAAAGAGGCGAATGTGAGTGCGGAAGTGCGGAGTGAAAACATGCAAGTGTGACCTTTCAAAAAAACTGGGTGGAATGTGATGGATGTTGCAGGTTGACTGTCAGTAAACACACAGTAGAATGACAACCCAAAACCCCTTCCGGCACTGACAAGGCGCGTCTTAAAAGCTGCAGGATCATTGCCGAGAAACACACACACACCCCCACCCACCCAAAAAAAAAGTACGATGCTTGAGTGCGGGGCGTGTTACTTCAGTGGATGTTGTGCTGAAGGAAATGTGAGTATCGGTGCAAGAATGTAGCAGTGTTGTTATCCGAGGGGAGACAAAATACAGAAATATCTGTTTGTGGGTTTCTTTTACAATTTCTCACACTTACAAATCAACACACTGTTGATCTTAATTTTTTGGCGCTGAAGAGCTCCGGATCCATTACAACTTGAAGGTCACAGCACGGTCAAACATGCCAGAGACAAAAATGCGGGCAGTCTCGAAGGTGAAAATATAAATTTCCAACAAAACACTTTGAGTCAATATTTTGGGAAAAAAAATCCATCACTTGGAGATGCAATTTCTAAAAAAAAATGTATGTATATATTTTTAAGACAGGCATGAATATCCTTTGTTGAATTTTAAAGCTAATTAACACACTTTTTTCAACCTCGTGTGCCTCATCTGCCCCCATTTGTCCGTAATGCAAAATGTGTGAATCAGTCATCCCATTTTGTAGAGTGTTTGGATTGGTCAAAATGTCTCACTGGCTCACGCGGAGGGCTCCTAATGAAGTAGCTCCTCATGGACACTCGTGACTAATTACTGAGATGTAAGTTATGATGATCATTGATGTGAGTAGGTGACATTTGTGAACAACTGCAAGGTTCAATAAAGTCAATAGAGTGAGTCAGAGAGGAAACAGAAACAACAAAATTCACCAGCCTGCATGACGTGTTGCTCGATCACATCAGACAGATGCAATGTGTCATTTTATGACTTGATTGTTGTATAGTTGTTTTTCTGTTTTATTTTCTTCTTCTTTTTATTGAGAGGTAAGTCTTGGAAAATTGATGGAAAATTGAGAATTGTATTTGAAAAATAGCCCATCCTTTTTGTCCTCATTATGGTATTCTTAAAATATGCAATGCTCCAAAGTATTATTGTAAGATGACAACTTTTCTCTCATACTTTTGAGTTGTAATATTATAACTTGATTCCTGTGATACCAGAAGTTGTTTGAGAGAGAAAAAACATGACAACTTCTAAATTGTAATATATTATTCCTATAGTTTGTTCCTCTTAATATTGTTATTTTTTCATTTTTATTTTTATTTTCAAATTGACCCTCATAGAGGATATGTACGAATATGCCATTGTGTATAATTTACCCACAGGCCAAAGCTTGGAAAAGTCGTATCCCTTGGATATCATGTCATTCCAATTCATTGTTAATTACTCAGGCTAAATTGCCTGACATTTGTCATCAGCAATTACTCTGCATGCACAAGGCTATGGACAAGCATATCTGGTGCGGGGACATCAAATCAGGCCATTTTTTATTCCTTTTAATAATTCCTTCCTGTTTGTCCACTCCAAACCAGTAGCCTTGACACTCACATTCACTCCGTCAATGGCAATGCATATTGTGTAAAAGTATTTTTTTTAATCTATACTATGTTGCACTGCATTATTTGTCATGTATAAATTTTGTATTTGGACAGACTCAGATGAGAAATTGAATAACCTACTGGAACAAAAACTAAATCCCTATGTACAATTTTATTATTCCTACGACCTTAATGTGACCAATATAGAAAATGAATAGATGGATTATTCTTACTAGTGTAGAATTAATAAATCATAGTGTGCTTGGTTTGTCTCCATAACTATCATTCACTGAAAAGGTTGTCCCATATTATGCCGCAACTCCATCTACTGGACAAAATGATTCATTACGAGCTGAACTGAACAAAACCTCAGTGCGGCTGCGCCACGGCGTGATGACGCCATCAACTTGACGTACGCGGTATATATACAGTTCGTCTGACGTCAGCGTTCTCTTCCCTGCCTAGGCCCTCGTGTGGTGGGCAGTGTAATATTTGCTGTCGGCGTTTTCTCCACCGAGCGAATCCAAAACCATCCGCCAAAATGGTGAGTTGAATTCGTTTTTGTGAATTATTGCGGAATACGTAAGACGGCGAGGTGTTCTCACCGTTAATATTACCGCGCTGAGAAGATATTAATTTGCGTGCCAGCGGTATTGGGCGTCGATCATTCACCGATGAAAACTGGCAACCATCTTGTTGTAATTCACCCTTTTGAAGGCCAAGCAGTCTCGGGAAAACTTGCCCGCCTGATCTGATAACCCGTTGAATGCGAAAAGTGGTGTGTTTCCCGGTTGTGTTACCGTTTTGTCGCCTAGGCCTGTAATTGGAGCGGCGGTTTACTGATAAACCGGCATACGTGGATTCTTTGTGCACTGCCTTAAACGGCCCAGACAGCTGATGGTAGTAGGAAACGCCAAACTGACTTCAATCGACCTCCGGCTGTCGTGTCCCGTAGACATTCACGTCGGCCGAAATGGCTGCTGTTGTGGCTGCTGTGGTTTGGGAACCCTCGGGCCTATTGTCACCGTCCCGTAGGATACGTCGTTGAGATGACTTGCTAATGCTAACGCGTAGCATTGTGTCAAAGTCTGTACACGTGGCCGGTATACCGACATTTGATACTGGGTGTCAGATGTTTGCGTCAAACGCCCCTTGTTTCAAGTTGAAAACTAAGGCATGTGAGGCCGCCGAAGTATCTTATTGAAAAAAATGCACATTTGACGACTTGTGATCGCGGATTCACAACGCCCCGACTCGAAAATTATGCGTCAGAGCATTTTTTTCCTCCCCTCTGCTGGTGAGGTGGCTTAATGTGCACTACAGTATTTCAAAATGACCGGAGAATGCCACATTATACCTTGGCACCCCTCTTCTGTTCTATATTGATGGAATTGGGTAAATAGAAGAAAATCAGTCAAGTTTGTAACACAATGAGCGTAATTTATCACCGCTAGAGTGTCTTTATCGTGGTTTTATTTGTACTCCCTACATTTGATTATAGACAGCGCTACCTTCTGCTTCTTCCTGTGTTTTGACAACATGACCTTAAACATACACGGAGGCAAGTGATTTCTGATTGAAGTCTTGGGATCTTGTACGGCCGAGATAACGGGATGGCAGTGACACAGAAATGTGAACCAGAGAGCAAGAATGGCAAGACTCTTAGAGCGTTATGTTCTCAATTCATATGAAAGAGAATTGAAAGTTTGTTGTGAGGTAGATTAATAATTCCTGGGTATTGTTGAGCCAAGCTGAAACCACCAGCTTCTGGCATTCAAACGTGTAACCATACCATTTGATTTGTGGGTTTTCTCAATCATCGTTTGCTTTGTTTTTGCATTATATGATTCGCCAATGTTTGCAATGCGATGGGACACAATGTTTTGAGAGGAATAAGTTGAGCCAAAGCCATCTCTTCACATGACATGTTATGTGATTTTTATTTTATCTGAATATAAGCACTATATCTGCTTGTGAGGGAAAATACTTGTGGGACATACCATTATTGTTTTTTGTTGTTGAAGTACATTTCAGTACCGTTTTTCTTAAGTACAGATGTTGAGTCGGGATTTTATCCATTTTTATTTATTTATTTTGACAGTTAAGTATCCGTTCTTAACTACAGTGTGAAGACTTCTGCCTCAGCTGTAAAGTGCAAATATTTTAGTTTTTTCACATCCACATGCTCATCTGTTTTTGTCCCTGCAGGTGAACTTTACAATCGACCAGATCCGTGCCATCATGGACAAGAAGGCCAACATCCGTAACATGTCCGTGATCGCGCACGTCGATCACGGCAAGTCCACCCTGACGGACTCCCTCGTGTCGAAGGCTGGTATCATCGCCTCGGCCCGTGCTGGGGAGACCCGTTTCACCGACACGCGGAAGGACGAACAGGAACGTTGCATTACCATCAAGTCCACGTAAGTGTTTTTTTTTTCATTGTTCTTTCGGTCCAGAAGTGCAAAAATGCCCTTTAAGTTGTGTATGTGACATATTGGACTGCCAACGTTGTGCTCAATCTGATCCTGTTCCACGACTCTGGGTGACTTCCGGGTTCTAATTTTGAAAACAATGAATCTGTTAAACTGTTGCCACCATAAAACCGAGCACTGGGTGCTACGTCGCGCGGCGCGCAATTATTTCACATTAAATTTTCCTCTGTGTGTTTATCACACACACAAAAGTCACAGAAATAGTCCTTTTGCTCATCACTGCATTGTAGTTTTGTGGATTTTTCTTGTCATATCAAAGATGATTCTTATTTGACTCTGGAGACGTTTTTCAGAAGAAAAAAATTTATTGCACAAACTGTACGCTGGGTTTTTGTATTGCTTGTTTTCACATTGCGTCCCTACTATTATAGCGCCATCTCCATGTTCTACGAGTTGAGTGATAATGACCTGGCCTTCATCAAGCAGTCCAAGGATGGTTCCGGCTTTTTGATCAACCTCATCGACTCTCCCGGACACGTCGACTTCTCCTCTGAAGTGACGGCTGCTCTGCGTGTCACTGATGGGGCCCTGGTGGTCGTTGACTGCGTTTCTGGTAAGTTGAACAAAATGCAGAAGCAAGTGCGTCTGCAGTGATGCATCCCCATTACTGTCAGTGTGGTAATGTGCAAAAATATTTAATGCCATTTATTGTTGTCCCTCTTTACAAGGCGTGTGCGTCCAAACGGAAACGGTGCTCCGTCAGGCTATCTGTGAGCGCATCAAGCCTGTCCTGATGATGAACAAAATGGACCGTGCCTTGTTGGAGCTGCAGCTCGACCCCGATGACCTGTACAGCACTTTCCAGCGTATCGTCGAGAACGTCAATGTCATCATTTCCACTTATGGTGAAGAGGATGGACCCATGGGTAATATCCAGGTGTGTGGGTTTTATTTTATATATTTTGTTTTTAAACACTTTTTTTTTTTTTGCCCATGAGTGCAAATGGGGAAAAGCACAATTGAGTTTTCCATTTTTGTACCACTCTACCTCAAAGCAATCAAATTTAACACTCTAACTTTAAAAATGGGCATTTCACTTAGAGAGCTCCACAAATGTTTTGTAAATATTGATGTTTTTATTTGCTTGTTTCCAGGTTGATCCAGTCATCGGCACCGTTGGCTTTGGCTCTGGCCTCCACGGCTGGGCATTCACTCTCAAGCAATTTGCTGAGATGTATGCAGCCAAGTTTGCTGCCAAGGGCAAAACGGAGATGACACCTGCTGAGCACTCCAAGAAGGTGGAAGACATGATGAAGAAGCTGTGGGGTGACAGGTAAGAGCACTAGTCATAGGTGGTCACTAAGATTACATTAAGAGGGAGTAATAATGCGATTCCTGACAAATTTGTAGGTAGTGAACTTTATGGTGATCCATCCGGGTGTTGGGTCGCACCGGGTGACAAAATGTAGTGTGTTTGATCTCCCTGAAAGGCAGAAATTGGTACTTGGTGGAGAATGCTTTGATGGCAAGCAATTCTCACCAGTGAGATGTTTCTCATTGGGGACCAGGTTTGCACACCGCTGGGGGGGGGGGTGTATTTTGGCACTTTGCTCTTGGCAGAAATGTGAAATCCATGGCAATTTGTCGGCTGCTGTTGGCCTTGGAATCCCAAAGCTTCAAGCTTCTGCTCCTCAAGCACTTTTGCTGGTGTTGGAGTTGGGAGAATGCGGGTGCGGCAGACAATAACAAATTGTCCTACTGTATTGCCAAGAAGAGGCGTTGTCATGACATGAGAAAACTTGAGGTGGTTGTTTTCAGTTGTGTATTTGTGGTAGCTGCTTGTTGATGAGAATGAAGTGGTAGGTGTTGAACACTTGCAAATGTCAGCCTGCTTCACTGGCATTTTGCATTGTTAGTTTCCTCCTCTGAAAATTTGCCGTGTGAGAGCTGTATATAGCTGCAGCTACTAAAGAAGCATGGTCCAGGTATGTGTCCAACACCTTCTGTTTTTCATGTTTTCGCAGTTATAATTTGTCACTCGTGGGTATTTAAGCTCCATGTGAGGAAATATGGAAGGCACTGCCCTTGGTTGTACCCATCATTCATCGCCAGACACACCAGTGTGCTCTCTCATAAGACAAGGGCAACAGCCATGGGTCTTTTGGGCAGGTGGGCCCCCCACACCCCTCTTTCCTTAGCGGGGAAAGCAAGTCAAAAATGTTCTTTACAACACTTTCGATGCTCCCCCAGTAACATACTGATTAATAATGCATTCAGGGAATATGAGGTAAGCAACAAAAATTTAAGTATCCACCTCAATCGAGTTGGCCATTTGTTGTCTACTGAAAACATCACAGTTGCTCAGGGAATGACCAATCACGCCTCACTTTTTTTTTTTTTTAATTAATTAATTTATTTTTTTAATTCGGTCATGTCACATTCAAAAACCGAGCCCCGATCGGTCGTTACCTGAGCCCTGAGCAGCTGTGGTGTCATTTTCAGTCGACAGCAAGTGGCAAAATGGCCACCCCCTGAGATGTATAAATTGGCGGATTTTCACAACTTAACACATGCAATATTAATCGGAATACAGTGCTAGACTAGTTGGGTCGCATAGAACATTTTCGAGTTGAATTCCTCTTTAATTTTTTTTATTTTTTTTTTTTAAAGGAAAGTTTTGGAGGCTTACCTCACTTTCTTTATTCTGGTTTGATTTGAAAATGGCATCCTAAAGCTGTACAGTGTGGCACTTTGTCCCCCTTCCCACTGATGCTACCTAGTAGTAGTTTGCATTTGATTTGCTTTGTTTGGCAAAGGGTAGAAACCGCACTGAATGCATGGCACATGCAAAAGAAATGCCGGTGTTTATCCTGATAGTTTCTACAAAATACACTAAACTGGAAATTATTTTAGAAAATCTGTCGTATAGTAATGTTTCGAAAACCAAATAAATCAGAGAGAGCAAACGGCATTACAGTCGGAGTTCCTTTTAAAGACCTTTGGCAAAGTCTTTCAAGTTGTTTTAGTGATCATTCTGGGATTTCTGATTGGAAGGGAAGACATTGATTCCTCGAAGAGGTGGGCTTTGTACAGAGGACTAATTGATTTATGATTGTTACTGGTGGCTACAAACTAATCTGTGGCTGCCAGAGTTCTGGTTGAATTGTAGGATATTTTTTCCACCCAGTGCAACTTTCATCTCATGCATCTTAACTGGTCATTTCTATTACCATGATTGCAATTGGGCAAACTGCAAATCCAGCAGGTGTTCCTCGTCCTGGCGGACGTTGAAAGCAGTAAAAGGTTTTTGTGGACTGAATGGCATGCTTTATGTTTGAAGGTATTTTGACCCAGCAACTGGAAAATTTTCCAAGTCACCAGCTACAGCGGACGGAAAGAGGATCCCTCGCAGCTTCGTTCATCTTATCCTTGATCCCATCTTCAAGGTAAAGATTAATTGTGCAGTTACTGAGATTGAACTCCATGTTGGCACTAATACCTGCAAGTGATGACTTCATTTACATTCTTCACTTTGACCTGATTCACAGTTCTGATGATTGCCTTGTGTCTGAGTAGGTCACATAGTGAGTGTGTTTAAAGTTTCTTTGGTTGCAATGTTCGGATTTGACAAATGTCCTCTATCCATCCCCAGATATTTGATGCCATCATGAACTTCAAGAAGGAGGAGACTAGCAAGCTGATCCAGAAGCTGGATATCAAGTTGGACACTGAAGACAAGGATAAAGAGGGCAAGCCCCTGCTGAAGGCCGTGATGCGTCGTTGGCTGCCAGCTGGAGAGGCCCTCCTTCAGATGATCGCCATCCACCTGCCATCCCCCGTCACTGCCCAGAAGTACCGTTGCGAGCTGCTTTACGAAGGACCCGATGAAGATGAGGCTGCCATGGGTATGATGAGTCCCATTGTTTAATGTAACGGCCACATTTTTTTCCTCTCCCTTGGATTGTCCGACTGATCCTTTCTTTCAGGTATCAAGAATTGTGACTCAAAGGCTCCTCTGATGATGTACATCTCTAAGATGGTACCCACCAGCGACAAGGGACGCTTCTATGCCTTTGGCCGTGTCTTCTCTGGAACCGTTTCTACCGGTCTTAAAGTACGTATCATGGGGCCCAACTACACACCTGGAAAGAAAGAGGATCTCTACTTGAAACCGATCCAGAGGTCTGTTTCCACACCTGACCTGAATTTTGTTGGGGGAGTGTTGTTCAAATATTAAATTGTTCCCCTCCTTCCTCTCCAGGACCATTCTGATGATGGGTCGCTACACGGAGCCCATTGAAGACGTGCCCTGTGGCAACATTGTGGGTCTGGTCGGTGTGGATCAGTTCCTGGTCAAGACTGGAACCATCACCACCTTTGAGCAGGCACACAACATGAAAGTGATGAAGTTCAGCGTCAGCCCGGTGGTGAGAGTCGCCGTGGAAGCCAAAAATCCGGCTGATCTCCCCAAGCTGGTGGAGGGCTTAAAGCGTCTGTCCAAGTCTGATCCCATGGTGCAGTGCATCATTGAGGAGTCTGGAGAGCACATTGTTGCGGGTGCCGGGGAGCTCCATTTGGAGATCTGCCTCAAAGATCTTGAGGAGGACCATGCTTGCATCCCACTCAAGGTGAGTTTTATTTATTTTTAAAAAAATTCTTTCAGGGGTGAAATTCAAATTAGTATGCTGTGCGTGTTGTGTTGCGCACCAGGTGCTTTGTTCAATGGCACCCAGACAGTAGCCAGGAACCAGACTATTACTTTTGAACAACTTGGCTGCAGCAGGGCTCTCTTCACATTTGCACTCCGGTTTCAAACCTCCAAATGCTTACAGATGAGCTGCTGCATTTATGACTGTCTTCATATTCCCAAACTGGTGTCTTTCTTTCTAGAAATCTGAGCCCGTAGTGTCCTACAGGGAGACCGTCAGCGCAGAGTCCTCGGTCACATGTCTGTCCAAGTCCCCAAACAAGCACAACCGTCTGTTCATGAGGGCGCGGCCTTTAGAGGACGGTTTGGCCGAGGACATTGAGAAGGGAGAAGTCACCGCTCGTCAGGAGATGAAGGCCCGTGCTCGCTACCTTGCAGACAAGTACGAGTGGGAAGCCACAGATTGCAAGAAGATCTGGTGCTTTGGACCTGACGGAACTGGCCCTAACCTGCTGGTGGATGTGACCAAGGGTGTGCAGTACCTCAATGAGATAAAGGACAGCGTTGTCGCGGGCTTTCAGTGGGCTGTCAAGGAGGTATGGGACACAATTTGTTAACGTAGTGTGAATCAAAACTTGAATTGGTCCTGATTTTAATTTTTGTCTTAAGGGTGTCCTCTGTGAAGAGAACATGCGTGCGGTTCGCTTTGATATCCATGATGTCACCCTGCATACAGATGCTATCCACCGCGGTGGTGGCCAGATTATGCCCACCACTCGCAGAGTTCTGTACGCCTGCGAGCTCACAGCTGAGCCTAGACTGATGGAGCCTGTCTATTTGGTGGAAATCCAGGTCAGTCTTGAATTTATACTTGGCACCATGGCAATATTAAATCTCCTGATATCTGGAATAACTAATAAACTACAACTCCACGTGTTGCTTTCCTCTCTGTGTAGTGTCCCGAGGTTGCGATGGGTGGAATCTATGGGGTGTTGACCAAGAGGCGTGGTCACGTGTTCGAGGAGGCCAGAGTTCTGGGTACACCCATGTTTGTCATCAAGGCCTACCTGCCTGTCATGGAGTCCTTTGGTAAGGGTTCCTGCAAAGCAGCCAAAACCCCACCCAGTAACTGCTTTTACCGCACCTTTGACAATGTCCTTATTAATGTATCATGGTTCTGTTTTCAGGTTTTACAGCTGACCTTCGTTCCAATACCGGTGGTCAGGCCTTCCCCCAGTGCGTCTTTGACCATTGGCAGATCCTCCCTGGAAACCCATTGGAACCTGCTTCCAAGCCTGGTGTTGTGGTCACTGAAACGCGTAAACGCAAGGGTCTCAAAGAAGGTGTCCCAGCCTTGGACAACTACCTGGACAAATTGTAAAAGCCTGGACCACTATTTGCTTATTGCCTCATTCCTCCCCACACTTGTAATCTGCACTGTGGGACCGGACTGTACAGAACACAGTGAGCACCAAGGTTTGCCAAAAGGATTGACAATATAAATGATAAACCTAACAAAAAATTGTAAACGAATAAAAGGAAATAAAACCCATCTGATGTGTTTTTCTTTTTCAACTCCCAATCACATTGTCACATCCTGTCCCATGATACAATAGTTGCAAAGAATCTGTTATTGGCCATCTGTATTCATGTTTCTCTTGATACATGTTGGGAATTGTATCAATGTACTATTTGCTACAATCACGCAAGCTGTAACTAGGTGGCAGTCTGTATTTGCTTCAATGTTCTTTTATTTCTTTTTGTTATGCTGAAAGCAGTTTGTCAAATTTAAGTGAAAACTGCTGGTTGCTACGCTTAAACTGCTAACCAAAAAAAACGAAAAGCAACTTAAATTCCTCTTTCCAACGTAAACATTGTTCCTTAACATTGATATAGGCCTAATGTAGATGTCATAAGCAAAGTTAAAATTGACGTGACTCTGAAATCACTTCTAAATTGTGTGCCTGATAGATCTACTTAGATGTACACATTCACTCGCAATCGACGCCATTTTGAATCCTGCTCCTAAATAGGGAAAACCAGGTCTGATCTTATTTATTGATCTTGACCGATACGTCTTCAAATGTTAGAAACTATTATTTACTTACTGGGGGCAGCGATATGTTTGTACTACTGTATATCGTACGACTTGATGTATTCGTCAAGTCATAACTCCCACGTTTGACTGACTCCGAGAAATTTCGTTTTAAGCAACGTAATACATTGAAGAGGCACGGTGATCATACTTAACAATGAGGAGTGACTGTATCAACCAATCAGAATGAAAGAAATGAACCAATCGCGTGCCAGCTTGGCTTGTCTTCCTGTTTTAGTTTTTTTTTTCCCCGTGAACGGAGTAATAATTATTTAAACGGAGTAATAATTATAAAATAATTATTCAACGGCATTTTTCTTGTAAGTCCTTTTATTAGAATACAATTTTCTGTGTCTGCTTGTTTTTGTAATCGTTCTCCCCGCCCACCCCGTATATTTTTTTTCCTGTATATTGTCTCACAATTAGCCACACTGGATGCTAGCAAGCTGTTTAGCAACGAAGAGCGGCGTCCATGCGGGGGACGGTGTCACTTTGATTTTATTCAAGTTTGATCTACTGTTCCCACTCTGACGGGACGTGGCGTAATTCTGACTGGATTTGCTTCGTTTGCACTTCAACAGGACTGACAGAGATCATGGGTGGCGTCAAACAGGAGCAGAATGATGCTCCGCAGCAGCCAAGAGCCTCACAATCCACAGAACAGCCTCAAGATGAGGTGGGCGCTTTGTTTTAATAAACTGGACCTCCAACGTTGACTTGCTGGCCGCTGTTATTTTACTTTTCCCAATGTGCAATAATGTAATTAAAATTAGTTCGTTCTAGGGTGCATTTATAGGGGGTCCTCGGTTTACGACGTAGTTCCGTTCCAACGGCGACGACCGAATTTAAATCCGAACGCGCCGTAGTCCATCATCAGCCTATGCTTAGGCAGTCGTAAAGTAATAATTACAGCAAATATTTACATGCAAAACAATTAAAGTTCAGATATAAATCAATTAAATTGAAAAAAAAAACAGTTCGTATGGTGTTAATTGAGCATGACCATATCTCAAGGCGCTGCGTTAACTAGTACATTAGTACATCTTTAATGTAAGCAACAACAAAAACCTGAAGATTAAGATGTTTACCGTTGGTATGTTGAATGTAATAAATGGAGTCTTCTAATGCTTCAGTACTATTTCTGCAATGTCAACAATAGTTTAATATTATTGAAGCATGCTATGCATGCAGATTGTCCAATTAATAACAATAAACATAAGTTAGTATGCATAATATTGACTTTACATATATATATAATATTATTGGGCATTGTCCAGAAGTATTTATTGACCATTGACAATGACATGGAATTTTTTATTTTATTTTTTTAATTGTGCCATGCATACAATGGTAAGCCCAGACCGCATGGGTTTATCACCAAACAATGAAAATGACCCGGCACCAGGACAAAAAAAAAAAAAAACTGCAGCAGCAGAAACTTGTGTCAAAAACAGTCTATTTGTCTTCTTTTCTAAGTTTGAGATAGACAATTTTCGATTTCATAAACGTTTTAAAAAGCATGGAATCTTTTCCTCATCTGGCGAACCGAAAATATCAGGGTTATGATGTTCATTGTCATTAAACATCAGCGCAAAAAAAAAAATCTAGAAACGTTTACTTGCGTCTCTGATTTAAAAATGTGTTGACCAGTATTGTTTTAGTCATCCTATCAGATTTGCAGTACATTAATGAGAAAAGCGAAGTTGCTTGAGTCTACTACTCCCCTCATGTTGCTTACTTTCATCGCAGCCTAAGAAGAGAGGTTGGCCCAAGGGCAAGAAAAGGAAAAAAGTGCTTCCCAATGGTCCCAAGGCGCCGGTCACCGGGTATGTCCGCTTTTTGAATGAGCGGCGGGAAGTGATGCGCGCCCGGTATCCTGACCTCCCTTTCCCGGAAATCACCAAGAGGCTCGGAGCAGAATGGACACGATTAGCGCCAAATGACAAACAGGTAATTTCAATCAATCCAAAGCCCCTTAAAGGGGATATTGACTTGCTTAGTGACACATATTTGGGTCTCCGGTGTGCCTGCCCACCCATCGAGTGTGGAATTACACTACCAAGTCACTCTTTTGTAAACTGTTTTTGTCAGAAAATGTGCCTTTTAAGACATTCAGAGTTTGGTCTGACTGTAAATGTCACGCTTAGTTTACTTGGAAAAAAAAAGTCTTCTTTCACCTCTGACATTTATTTATTGTGCATGTCAGATGGTGACAATTCACTTGCATGTGTCCATAAAGTCTCCTCCAAAAGTACTGGAAGGGCAAAGTCAATTCCTTTGGATGTGTTGTATACCGAAGACATTGGGGTTTCTAAACCAAAGATGAACATTAGACAAAAGTTCAGAATTCTACTTTTTATTTCCTGGTGTTTATATCAAAACATGTTAAACAACTCAGGACAGAGCCCCTTTTGTTTGAAGCCACCTATTTTTCAAGTCAGCAAAAATACTTTATTTTTTACTTTTATTTTTACTTTAACAATGCATTTTACCTGCTGAAGAGGAGACAGAGGAGAGAGAACCATTGTTTTAAGCAAGCCAACTCTGACATTTACAGTCAGACCAAAGTATGAATGTCTCACCCTGCTGTTCTGAAACCTTCGGAGAGGATTGTACAGCCTTAGGTTGCTTTGTTTGGGGCCACTCTCTAAAGGCTAGAAACAATTCTTAAGACCTCGTGAACTTCATGGGCTGTCACCTCACGTGCACTAGACTGCGACAGGTGTTTAGAGTTTACATACCACAGCCACTCCCACCACAATCCAGTTGCACAACCAGGTCCGTCGCCCCTGTCCTGCGTCATTCACATTTTATAAAGACTGCTGGGGAACTTTTAATCTGTGGGAAAATGGCACATGTCTTCTTTCATGTTTGGGAGTCATATTGAGTGTGAATTTGCAGCGTTATCTGGACGAGGCGGAGCGGGAGAAGATGCAGTATGCCCAGGAACTGAAGGAATATCATCAGACGGAGGCATATCAGATCACTAGCACTAAGATACAAGACAAGAGGATTAAGAAAGGTGGCTACCAAGTTGTCTCTGTTGCATGCGCCATGCAAAGCACCACATTCCCTGTGTTTTGTGCACTTGTACTCAAACAGGATCTCTCTTTCAGAGGACAATCCATCTGTAATCATCAGTGCCAGTTCAGGCTTGCCAAAGGTGTGTGGCACTCCCTTCACACGCCCAGAGACTCGCTTTATTTAGCGATGCGTAATCCAATTGCACAGAAGCACACTGAGACACATTTATGAGCGGGTCAAAACAGCTGTATATGTTGGAGTGTTTCTTATTACTGTGATTCCGTGTAGTTCAACACAACTGAAACCTACAACCACAACGGTTTCAGTCAAGTATGCAAACTTTTTGATCAGTATGGAAATTCACCTGAACAAGCTGCTGCATGAAATTAGACAATAATTATATATTTGACTTGGTGAAACAGCATATGGCTCACCCAAGATTATTTTTGGACCCTCTGTTCCAAGTAACAATTAACAATGTGATGTTTGTGATCAGGAGGTGGCTAATTAGTTTAATATAAGTGTGGCAACAGCTGCTGTGGTAGTCAGAGCACCTTCTAACCTCCATTAAGTGAGCTTGCGCCATCCTTTTTCTTGATTTTTCTTTTTTTTCCCCCCAACAGACATCTGAGCTCCCAAGCCGCTTTGAAATCCCGATCTTCACAGAGGAGTTCCTCGATCAGAACAAAGGTAAATAACAAGTAAAATATTTGTTTTCAGGAGTGTCTGTAGTTGTCATGGTTTACATGGCTTACATCTGTTCCTCCTGAATGGTCCCTGCTCTTGAGTGGTGACCAGTCCAGTATTGTCCACTTTTTCACAATTCACAATTGTCCACAATTCGCATCTGGGTCATAGCACCATAAAAGAGGGAAAAATGCATGGCGCTGGATATTCTTCTTAAATCCAGCCTCTGTATTTTTTTTAAACCATTCCAAATCCACCTGGAAGTTAAGATGGACTCATCATTTCGATTGCATGATCGTCTGTTTTCTCAATCGGACCGCAGCACGAGAGGCGGAGTTGCGTCGACTTCGCAAGGCCAACGTGGAGTTCGAGGAGCAGAACGCGGTGCTGCAAAGGCACATCAAAGACATGTACAACGCCAAAGAGCGCCTGGAGGCGGAGCTGAGCCAGGACGAGAAGCGCACGCAGGCTCTTCATCAGCACTTGCTGGCCATTAAACACACGCTGGTCAATAGTCTGTCTGCTGTGCCGCTACCAGGTTAGCACTCACTGCGTCGCCTCATTTAAAGTACTTCTTTGACGTAGACAGCACTCCAAAAGTATTGGAACTGTGAAGCCACTTCCTTATTTTGGCTGTTGACTGAAAACATACATATGTGTTTGATGTCACAAGATGAATATGGGACAAGAGATCAACATCAGCTTTGGTTTAGTACGTTTTAAAACGTAGCCAAAAAATTTACTTATACATTATGCATAGTTGCATTATTAATACTCTGGAGCTGTTTATAAGTACAAAACATATTTGACTCTTCCCAAGCATGAAACTGTTCTAAACAGTTCTCAAAGAGTGTGTATTATATTTCAAAGGTAAATACAAATGACCAGTACTAAGTAGATGTATCTGTACTGAAAAAAAAGTTGAATCAACTGTAACGTTTTGCACAGTTTGACTATTTAATTCAGTGATTCTTTCACATGCCACCAGTGTAATTAAAGCCAGGAAAAGCATTGCAAAGGAAGCATGCAAAATGTTGCTGATTTCAATTCAGAGGAGTTGCACCAGTTTTTCAAGGTTCAATATCATCTTTATTGTCAAATATGCTTTATGTACGACATGCAGCATAGATGAAATTTCTTCCTCTTAATCCTCAGTGCAAACATGCTGTGCATTAAACACACAGCTAAGACAAGATAGCAGCTAATGTAATGTAATGTGAACAGTATAGACAATATAAACAACATAAACAATGGCACTTGTGGCTATTCTGGGTAAAGTGAGGGAGTGCATTGTGCAATACGCAGATGTCAGACGATGAGGGGAGGGTCATAGTCTGTGACAGGAGGCAGGGGTCGGGCAGAGGCAGAGGGCGGGAAGTGCGGGCAGAGCATCCACTCCATCCACTCTGTCTTAAAACAGGCACAGGCGAGACAGCAACCCTCGGAAACCTGGATTCGTATCTCAGTCGTCTCAGCGGTGCGCTCGAAGGGAACCCTCACAAGCACCGGGCCTTGTTTACGCAGCTTTGCGATATCCTCTCTCACCTGGACAGGTAGATTGCTCATTTCTGACTTTCTGTCACAGACACAAACACAAAAACCACATACTCTGAAGCAGTCCGCGCAGAAGCCTTTGTTTTTCCAACCGCTTGTCTGGTTGGAGCTTCAGCTATTTAGACTATCAAAACACTCCAAAAGTAAAATTTTCATATGTCGCCCACACGAAATGTGATGTGTTCTCCAAATACGTATTTTATGTTTTCAAGTGAGAAGTTGTAGGACAACTGCACAACCCCTCCCACCTCCCCAAGTCATTCCTGCACCCGTGGAGTTTCAGGCAAGGTGTTGTCGTCTGCAATCCACACCATCTGGGCCGATGGGTGCGGACTTCTCGGGGGATGGAAAGGGCAGTGCCATGAACACGTCGGTCGAAGTGTGCAGCCACTCCGACTTCAGCACAAATGTGTGACTTTGTTAAAAGTGTGCAGAAACTATTTTATAAAGCGTACTCTCTGTTTACTTTGTCAATAATGAGGAGTTTACAAGTAATGCCATGTGGCATCGGTGGCTGGGATCATCTGTGTGCAGTGTTACTTAGAATAACTACAAGAATCCTCGATTATGCTTTTGTGCTTGATCATGAAATCTTGTCATATCAACTTTTATTTGGTGTGAACTTTATTTGTATTTTGACCAAAATGCTGTTTGAAACTGTGCTGAAAATATTTCCAATATAAGGTAGACAAGCTTGTCTCTGTCATCTTTATCATCGTCACACACTCACTGAGCACTTTACACTTTCTATTGAGATCCAACACGTGAATTATATTAAAATGACTGCATTTTAAAATTCTTCACAAAACTAAAGATGAGTTTTTAAGAGGTAATAACTATGACAATGTTTGTTATTGTGGTTATAGTAGAGGTACTGTTGGACTGTCACTGACTTTCGAATATTATGACCCCGAATTTAAATACTGTAAACAAAATACTAGTACAATCACATAATTAATAAAGATAATGTACACACATGATATTGTCTATAATTAGCTCTTGTATGTCATTAGATTATTGTGCAGGTATAGTACCACAAAAATAGAGTTGTATCATATGGAGAGGCACCATTTCGGTCAGTTTAATAAGGACTTCCAGCAGAAGGCAGTGTTGGGCTACACTCAAGTCCCGTGCATATTTGTCTTTTTGTAATGTTAATGTAAATGAGTTTACTTTTTTTTTGTTTAATTCTGCACATAATAGCTCCACGTGCTTCTCAATAAATTGTAACACAATAAAAAAAGATACATTAAAAACGTGAAACTTATTACACATACATTACACACTACATTAACGTATTTATATGGAGTTATAAAACACATGGGAAAATACTTTTCAGAAAGCCAAACACCAACCGTATCAATTGTGAATATTTGGGTTTGTCCAAAAAGAGGGCCGTTTGTACTTAGGGACCCCTGATTTCAATCAACCAATGATCAAAATATTGTGTGTGTGTGTGTGTGTGTGTGTGTGTGTGTGTGTGTGTGTGTGTGTGTGTATATATATATATATATATATATATATATATATATAAATACACATATATAATTTGGAAATTTTACCCTCTGAACACTTATTCCTTCGTTGTTTCAATTTAAATAAGCACCTGTTAATATTTTCAATTTATTAAAAATGTAAATAGCTGAATAAAAATAATTCCCCTTGCTGTTTTCTGATTCGTGTCAGTGACAAGCAGGCTAAATGGTCACGTGCTAAAAAAATATCCGAGGGCGGTGCTCAGAATTTGACGTCCTTCTCCCGCCACGCTGCTGTGACGTCACTTCGGAGACAGGGAGCTGTGGGCTCAGCGCTGGTTCTGAAAGCCCGACAAAGATGGCTGAGAGCTGAGACGGGCAAAGAGAAGACCATTTCAGCGCACGGACACCTCGTCTTCTTTAGCTTTTGAATTAACGACGGGTGGACCTCTGTGCCCACCGTCAGGCTAAGAGGGAAGAAATTCCCACTCATGTGTTGCATCGTGACACCCGTCGGGCCGCGGTGGTGGTGGTGGAGGTGCTGCTGCTGCTGCTGCTAGGCGGACGTGTCTCCTCTCTCTCGCCGCTTCGAAGGCGGCGTTTTACGGTCACTGGGAAAGCAGCCAAGACGCCGGGAATTGACCCAAAAAGCCTTTTCGAGAGATGTCCTTGCTGTGTGTTGGGGGTAAGACATTTTTTAAAGACATTTGTCACAGCGTTCTAATGTTCTCATGTTAGTCATGTGTGTTGAAACATCAGTTCCAACAAAAAGACTGGAATAGATTTCACTGCAATTATGGTAGCACTACCAACATTGATTTATGGAGTTGGAATCAAATGCTCTAAAACAAGATGCAACCCACTCTCGCGTCAGTCCAGGCACATACTGGAAGTGAATGGTTTTAAGGTCTGAGTGTCCTGGTTTCAACCGTAGTGGTCCACTTCACAGAAAGATCTTGCTCAAAAGTCAAACAAAAACTCGGGAGTTCAAAAGGTCCTCGTTCATGATGTCGACATACCAGGTGAGACCTCAGCTCTGCGAGCATTCAAAAGCAGGAGTGAGCAAACTTTTAGGCTCTCGAGGGCCACATTTGATTTTTAGAAAACGACAGACTGCCTGACTCATTTGTACAATAGATAAGGTTAAAAAAAAAAAAAAAAAAACGCTGTGTAATCAATTTTTTTATTGCTTTGTAGTTTTAAATTTATCAATCACTCATCCATCCATCCATCCGTTTTCAAATCCGCTTATCCTCACAAGGGTTGCCGCCGCGCTGGATCCTGTCCCAGCTGTCTTCGGGCAGTAGGCGCGGTACACCCTGAACTGGTTGCCAGCCAATCACAGGGCACATATAAACAACAACCATTCGCGCTCACAATCACACCTAATCAATCACTCAATAAACGTTAAACGCATACTTTATGTGAACCTCATTTTACTATTATTTTTATTTTTGTTCAATCGCAAGATACATATAGACAAGCAACCGTTCACACTCATAGTTACACCGATGGATAGTTTACAGTTTACGAACCAAACAATAGTAATTGGCATTCTAGTAAACCAAGGGTGCCCAACTCCATTCCTCAAGACCCCTATGCAGCCTGTTTTGGATGTCTTGCACCTCCGACACACCGTTATCTTCATTTCTCTGAAGTCTCCAAGGAGGTATGAAGAAGCTCAACCTTTATGAAACTCTTCCATCTTTAAGACTCCTGAGCTGCACATTGCACGGATGCCAGGTTCAAGATTCAGCCTGGTGCCTTTATGTCCTTCGTGTTGGCATGGCAACCCGTTCGGTCTCTCAGTACTCCTGGATTCTCATCATGATGCTCTGTTGTAGGCCCGAGGTTAAGCTAAATTGAGTTTTATGTCAGTCGGCTTCAGGCGCTATAAACATTGTAGACAGAAATGTGACATATCAACTTGACTTTGATACGATGGATTGTGTTGTCACAAAAGCCGAATAAGCACATTTTGATGTGGGCTACATGATGCTACATTATTACTAACCGACATGGACATCAAAAAGACTCAGCATATATCCACATTAGAATGACTTTCGATGAGGGAAAAAAATAGCCCTGTAATGTAATTTGATTGCAATGACCAATATAAATGTTTAGTAGTCATCGAAGTCAAGTTAGTCTAGGAGGTTCAAGGAAGGCCGAATTATTGCGACAATTCTTGTATTGGATCCCATTCGATTTTTCAGCAATGCTGTGGGCGAGGGGTGGATATAGTGTACATTGCACTTCTCAACCTCTGTATAGTGTACATTTTGCCGAGAGTTTTGTAAGAGTGTTTTACATAACAGCAATAATAAGTCGAGGTGAGAGAAGCTTTTAGTAGCTATCAAGTGGAATACGTTACGGCTGTCCACCTCCATTGCACTGTCGATTTTACAGAACAGGATGTAGCATCTTAAGTGGACCATCTCAGGAAATATGCATTGCTTGAGCTACTCCACATGTGATTGCATTCATTACCCTGGATTTCCTCTTTTTTTTTTGAGAAAATGAGATCTTGCAACGGAATCAGCAATTTCTGCTGAATTTTGCACTCATCCCTTCTCTGCTTCCCCAGTAGTGCTGCTTTAGTCCTATATGCCTTCAAGCTGCGAGTGCTCACCCCCCCACCACCCCGCTCTCACCATCCCTCCCCCAAATCCCACTCCTACCCTCCATCCGCCTTTCCGGCACCCCCCCCAACCCTGTCACGCTGAAGTGGTTATTTTTAGAGTTGGGGATGCAGCTCGCTGTGCCAGCTCACACACAGAGATTAATGGAGCATGAGAGAAAGGCAGAGGAAGGGTGCACACGTGCGCGCTCACCACATGGCAGCGGGAGCTCGTAGGAGAGGGTGAGGAGGAGGGTGAAGGAAGGACTGGCTCCTTGGGAGGAAGCAGCATTTGAGGAGGAGTGTTGACAAGGGTGCAGCCCGAGATGCATCTGCCATTTAGCGGCTGTTTCAAGGAAAGGCACGCAAGCAAGGAGCTTCCAGGGAATATACGCTACGTCCGCCAAGGGCGTGTGACCGCCTCGGCTGCAAATGAACTTGTTCTCATCAGAATTTAGTAGAAATTCCCACGAAATGTCATGAACTGTAATTAGTCGCAAAACAGCATGATGGCGTCTGGCGTTTCTTGAAAAGGCTTTGCTTTTCATCCTTGCCGTGTCATCTTGCAGCACCGCATGGGGGCCGGTGCCCATCTCACCCTGAATTGATTACCTGTCAATCACAAGGCTGACATATGGAAGCGACGACTCGCTCACATTCACACCTGTGGACAATTTAGCGGCTGGAGTGTCATTTTAGTTCAGGGGCCACGTTCATAATTTTATCTGCAACTGAGCCAGACCAGAATATTTGTGGACGAAGAAGCTATAAATTATGCAATCCACTTTTTTTTTTCAGGTTCATACAAGTACATTTGAAAAATATTCACATTTGTAGATTATCTAATTGCAAATCTTGTTTCAAATAATACAAGCAATCTGGAATGTCTTGACAAAAATGAGTACAGTTTCAACAATATTATGAATGTGTGTTTTTATTTACAACATAAGCTCACAGTGGATCTCTGTACTTTTTACAAAGCAACCTGGTAAGACGTAGAAATAATTTTTAAATACCGTATTTTCCACACTAAAAGGCACACTGGATTATGAGCTTCAATGAATGGCCTATTTTGTCATTTTTTTTCATACATTGGGCGCACAGCGTTATAAGACGCAATCTACAATGCATCCACTAGATGGAGCTACGCTCAAGGAAACGCCAACAGAAATAACGATCAGATGTCAGTCAAACTTATTTAATAAAGCAGCGACACAGTTCACTTAACCAACAACAAGTTATACCATTGACTCGTTAACGTTGAACTGTCTTGCCGCTGCTCTATTTCCGTGTTCAACTGCGTAACCAATCGCCTTAAGTTTGCGTTGTCAGCATGTCTTGAGCAAGAAGCCATTTTGGGGTTGAAATATTAACGTAATGACCATACACAAGGAGCATCAAATTTTAAGGCGCGCTGTGAGCTTTTAAGAAAATGGAAGGCTTTTAGGTGCGCCTTTTAGTGCGGAAAATACGGTATACATAAAATTCCACATCTGAAAATCTGGACAACCTCAACTGAGTCATCACACCATTCAAAATACAGTGGTAACTTTTCATAAAGGTACAGTTGTCTACCTGACTTGTAAATGGATACTCTCCATAAAAATACATACAAGTTGATGCAGTACATGACAGAACAAAGCAAAAAAAACCATTATAATACAGTGGATACATTCTCAAACTGTCCAGTTAAATCAATTCACTCATCTGCTGCGGCATTAAGATGAGAGTCGGGCATCTGCTGTTCGCAACTAGCCTCAATATATCAAGACAAAGAAGCTCATTGTGAGTCATTTTCCCAGGCGGTGACAGCACAGCAGCATCAACATCACTGTAGACAAACTGGCCTCTTAAATTAGTAGTGTCACCCCAGAAGGCCCTTGAGATAATAATGCTCCCATCAATTATCCCTCTGATGAATAAGTCAAGAGGGGCGACGGAGAAAGCGTGCATGCTGCGCTTCCAAAGTAAAAAAAAAAAAGAAAAAAAAAGAAAAATAAAAAAGAAGCCATCTTTCTGTTTTCAAACTCGAAAGTTAAAAAGAACCTTGAGTGTCATGATATTTGCTTAATATGATTTTTTTTTGTCTCAAAAAGAATTTCCAGCATTTTGTCAAAACTTTATTTTCCCATATGTCACCCTTGTTGTTTCTGTGGCAATGCATTCTGGGTAGTGAGGTAATATGGTTGCACTCTGTTGTTGTAGCGACTTGTTAGCAGCGATGACCCTCCTTTTCAATTCGAACCAGAGCGTGGGTCGAAGACAAGAGAAAAGTGTAGAAGAAGCCCGTGATGAAAATGGAGATCGCAGACGTGAGGAAGCGAGAGTTGGTCATTTGTCTTTCTGTCTGAGTGGATGCAGCTGTCATCATCAACATTGGACACTTACAAATGTCAGGGTGCTTGACTAGCGTTTAGCATTGTTCGTTTGCTCCGTTGCAAGTTCGGTGGAAAATGAATGGGTTGGTTTAAAAAAAAAAAATAAAAAAATTATGCCTGGCAGGATGAAGGTTATGATGAGAGCGTATTCGTTTGACCACAGTTTATGTAACCAGTTCAAAAGAAAAACAGATTTCATGTGAAATTGCAGAGATTGAAGCTCAGGCATCCTATCATGACAATGCTGCTTGTTTGCTTGGACACGGCGTAATGGAACACAAAGCCTCGTCTTGAATGTCAAAGAAGCATCAAGGCTGTGAAACAAGGCAAGCAGCAGGGATGAAAAGTCAGCGCTGTGAATATTAATGCCTTACTTCTAAACGCCAGGACGCTATTGGATAAGAATGAATAATGAATGGGCCTTTGACTTCACTGTGGTTTTAAAGCGTCTCATGCCAGCAGAGGTTATTTGGGTGGAGTGTGTTCATAAGCCGACAAAGGGTTCTGCCTCTCAGTTTTTCACTCAGCACTTGGGTCAAGCCTTAAGCCAGCATTGCAGAATTGCAGAGATGTGCAGGTGTTTCGCCTCTCAGTGAAGAAGAAGAAGAAGAAGCAACTTGCCACTGTCAGGGCTCGTCACATTCAGTCACATGCATGATATGTTTGGCGCAGTTTTTATGCCGGATGCTCTTCCTGATGCAACCCACCCACGTTCCACACGTGGGCCATCTTCCCTAACCAGAATTTGAGAGCGGTGTAACATTAACAATAGATACTTTTTATCGTCGTATTAAACTTTGGCATATTGTACTAAAAGGTGTAGCTAAATAAAGGTGTAGCTAGCCTAATAAGGTAACCAAACGGGCACAATCTTTGATTTGTATTATGATTGTAACTGATATGCTATTAGCTAGCATACAAAGTGCTAATAAGGAGAACAAGCACTATAAAAATGGTTAGAAGGGAAGGAAAAAAAAAATACCGATATATATATATATATATATA